CTGTGTTCATCCAGCTCTACACCTTGTTATCTATTATAAGAGATGGCATTTGTCCAAAATTCCTGGGAACCACCTTTCTTAAATTATTTTCAAGTCTTGAGTCACACTTCTATCCCCATAAAAAAGTTTCAATGCATATTACATTTTTCTTAAATATTATGACAATATTGAAAATATTGTGATTGAATTGATAAACTCTAAGTTTTGCGTAATTATATCTAAGTAACGAAAACAATATAGAAGTGTATTAGGGCCCAACAGACAGAGTCTTCACCACTTTAAAAACATTTGTCTACTTCTTTAAAAATGCTTTACCACCTTTAGATTTATGATAAAGCAGTGACTTGAGTGTTTTTAGCAGTGTTTTAATGTAATGAAGCAGTTTAATGCTTAACCAATATTTACTTAAATTGGTCAACTATGTTTCCTTAGTAAAACACAAGAAATATAAAAGTTCGTGTGTTCCACTGTAGTGAATTATTACAGTCTTTCAATTAATCTTTAAGCATTGTCTTGTAAATATTTACCTTTCCATTCCTCTATACTGTGTTCTCGCTCCTCCAACTGTTTATCGTAAATCTGCGGAGGGGGCTATTGCACAAACAAAAAGTTTAGAATCAAGATGCAGGAATCAAAAAGTTCACAATTCTTTCTATAGAGCTAAGACACATCGTGTGCTAAATCACAGAGCTGATACCTGGACAAGTACTAACTTTTATTAATAGCTCAATTATAATATTTCTGGTTCAATTGTATGGACTTGACCTATAGTACTAAAAGCATTCCCAAATTATAGGAGGGAGTGAAAAATACTTAAAATCAACCTGTTCAGAGAGATTATTGTATACTTCTGGAGTAAATGAGACTTGAACCTAGGTCTCAATAGCCCTCCAGGCAGGAGCGCTTAGATTACTACTTGTAACTAGTCTGATCAAATTGATTAACAGTAAACAATTAGTTCATCTTTTATATTAACTTTCTAATATACTTAAGTCTTACACAGAACAGTCTCTAGTAAGTGTTTGAGTAATATTTTTCCATCTCATTTTCCTAATGATGCACCATTACTTTGTAAATCTATTTGGTGCCATGGGCAATAACAGATCTATTAATATTACAGAAGAATAGTGGTTTCGAAGAATCAGGACAAAATATATTAATAACTCTTAACTGAATCAACGACGACATAGTATGGAGATAGCACTTTGTCGTACATGTGGACATATTTTTGCTTAACCCTACCAAAAATCGTAATTCTCCCAAACTTTCAGAAAAATGTTCTCGAACAGAACCTCAACATTCTGTACATCAAATTGAGAAGGCATTCCTGGCATTAGCCTTAGCTTGGTGGTAGCAGTCATGCCCTTAAGGCAGAATGTCATGAGTTTACACCCAATTCCAAAGACTTGAACACACAATTAAAGACAATACTTAATGCTAAAGGCAGTGTTACATCTTAAATGAGATCCCAGCTAGGCAAGACAGTATCACATGGTACTAATTTGAAGAGCAGGCATTCGATCCAATGTCTTGGTCAATGCTCATCTCTCAACCAACATCATATACAAACAGACAAACAGGAGGCTGGAAGAATACAGCAAGCCAGGTAGCATTTGGAGGAAAGGAGAAGTCAACGTTTTGGATATTACCCTCCTTCAGGGCTGGATGTGGGTGTCTTTGGCTCTTGTGAGTGTTTGTCATTGTGTGGCTGTGGGTTTGTGTGCTACATCGATTCCTTGTGGTCGCAGGAGTCTCGTTGTCAGCCACCCCATACCCATGACATGCAGGTCCAACGTAGTTTACAAAAACTGCAATAAACAGTACATCGGCCAGACCGGAAAAAACTAGCCATCAGGATACACGAACACCAGCTAGCAGCAAAACGACACGATGAACTTTCCCTCATCTCAGTGCACTCGGACAATGAAAGCCATCAATTTAACTGGGAAAACGTGATCATCTTAGCTCAAGCCAACCACAGACATGCATGGGAATTCCTAGAGGCCTGATTTTCAACCCATAATGCAAACAATATGTGGAATTAGACCCCATATATAAACCCATGCAGAATAGAACCGGAAATGACACAACCAACTTAACAGACTGGATCATATAAATACCAAACTGAGTAGAACAACATCACTTCATCAGAGGCTGCACTGATGATGTTACCTAGCATGGTGACGAAACATCTATACGATAACCTGCCAGCACAGCAAGCAAGCCAACAACCTCATCCACCTGAGCTACAAATCTTCACAAGAATCTTAATTGATCATTTAAGACTGAGGAGCAATTTATTCAGAGAGAATTCTCTACAGGGTTACCCCATTCACCCTCCATGAGAATTGAGGATGGTTAATTAATGACTAGGTTTGACATGGAAAAATCTTTGCTTGTTCAAGTGTAATTAATTCAGATTTTTCTGTACTGCCAAAGACAGCATTGCAACAGTTGAAGGACAGACAGTTCCATAGAGGTGCTACATTTTATTGTTCCAAAATATTAGTTACATTTAAAATGTTGCTTGGAGCAAGGGTGGATCTTGTTACAACATTTTCAATAGGACACCCAAAACAGTTCAAGGACCTCTGACGAACAGTCCTGGGTTGTAGCAGTAGTAGTGACGACGATGACTACAACAACAACAATAAAAACAAAATTGCTGGAAAAGCTCAACAGGTCTGGCAGTACCTGTGAAGAAAAAATCAGAGTTAACCTTTCAGGTCCGGTGACGCTTCCTCAAAACTGTAAGGGTCCTGGGTCACAGTTAGTTGGAGGAGGTGATAAAGACTAAGACAGAAGCAAGCTCCATCCAGAAAAGAACTGTCAGAATACACTGCTGAAAAGGCAAGTGAACGGCAATTGATGTGCTGTTGGTATTCCAAGTGAGAAGTCAAGTTGGATGGCTCTGCGCTGTTAGAACTCAGGAAAACGTTCTTGCAGTTAGTAAGCAGCAAAATGTTGGAGTCATGACTCCAAGAAAACTCTGGAAGCTTTTGGGACTCAAAAGCCACGTGCCACTAGTATCATAGAATCCCTACACAGTGTGGCATGTTCGGCCCAACAAGTCCACACACCCCAACGCTATCCCTGCATTTCCCAAGGCTAATCCACTTACCCTACACATCCCTGGACACTGAGCAATTTAGCATGGCCAATCCACCGAAGCTTCACATTTTTGGACTATAGTTCAGCACAAATGTGAGATAGGGTGAAGGAGTACCACAAGCAGTATTGCCTTGCCAACTAAGCCAGAGTAGAGCACAAGTAGAGCAGCAATACTGGGTTAGCAAATTTCACTTTTTGTGGAGAAACTAAAGTTGTGCCTGTAACTGTAGACTGCAGTTTCCAAGAACCCAAAGAAGCACGGTCCTAAGAAAGGCAGGTAAATCACCAGAACTGGGGCAGATCATAACAGAGCTGCAAGATCATTTTATCAAACCCATAATCCCATGAGGTTTTAATGAGAATTAGTGACCTGCAGTATTACTAATGTCTGAGAAATCCATGTGATCGCATGGCAGTTGCTGCATTTTCCAGGGTGTTTGACCATTTATCTGTTACTCATTTGTCTCAAGTAAAGTTTGGGATGACACAATATAAGTCATACGCATCTTTGTAGAGTCTAAATTTTTTTGGTCAATGGTCTTCACATATTACAACCAAGTGTTATTTGCAATAAACTCATTACTCTATGCTGACTAAAGAAACCTGGCTAACTTGGTTCTAATTATAAATCACATAAAGGCCAAAAATCCATTTAAAATCAGTCATATCACCACCACTTGTTTAAAAACTGCCATGATCAGTGGACGAGTGGGATGAGAAAATAATCAATGCTTTGCTCTAGCCTCTGCTGGAATACAGGGAATAGAAGCAGATCAGTAGCAGGTGGAAACCTGCAAATGAAGCACAAGAACCACCATGACGGTACTGAACTGCAGAGGAGGTTCAACAGGCCATACGATCTACTCCTGCTCCCATCATTTATGTCAGCGTCTAAATTCTGATTCTAACGTACAGCTTAGATTAAAACAGTTCAAGCACAGAAGCAAAATATGAATCAAACACTAGTATAAAACAGATAACTAAAATGCTAAATTAAAAGTAATTTGCTTACTGCTTCTACTTCAGAAGGATCATACCAGACGGCAATATATGGATGTTGTAAGGCATCATCTACAGAAATTCGCTTGTCAGGATCGATTACCAGCATTTTTGATAGAAGATCTCTGGCCTGACTTACTGAAATATAATAAATAAAACAATTTAATGATTAAGGGGTTTCTGTAACCTACCCATTTTATAAATTATTAAATGCATTTAAAATAAACATCGAGAGGACTAGTCTTGCACAAGCTACAGCGAATATGTTGACTAACACAAACATAATTTCGCTACACTGACCAAAGAGAAATGTGCTCAAGCAATTACTTTATTCCTAAAATGCAACATAAAAAATTTCGCTTCCTTTTAAAACATTGAACCATTATGATCTTAAGATTTAAAATTGTCAGAAAATAATGAATTTTATATTTTTATTAAACTTTTAAATAGTTTTAAAACGACCACAAAGTTGAAGCTTTTAAAAATTCAGTGGCACATCATACCCCTGGATTTTAATATTTTCAGCAGTTTGATTTCCAAGTAATTTTACATCTGTTATTGAATTTCTTTGCAAACAAAGTTTAAAAATACAGATGTACACAATGCTCTTGAACGTGATCTAAACACACAATTTCAAAAAGCAAAACATACCTTTTAACTTGTCACGTTCTGAATCTGCTGGAAACACCCAATCTGGAAATAATGTTTCAAAGCCAAGCCCTGGATATTTTGGCCTATTCTCTACATAATTTCGTACAGTTGGCTGCAATTTCTTCATGAATTCTGCAGATGGCGTTCCTAGTTGTTCAATAACTTTATTCCACTGATCAATATCTGCATTAACTGGTTCAGGAAAACTAGTTGAGAAGATTTTGTATTTCCAACCAAGCTTTTTTTTGATTTAGTGTATTTCAGTTGTATTAATTGAATTTAAATTGACTTACTCTACAATGTGCTTGATCGTTATAAAGGCATGTCTACAAAGACAGTATTCTAAAGTATAGAAAGAAAATGTCTTCACTGTTTCTTGCACTTATTCAGGTTATACTAATTCACCAGAAGCGAACATATCTCATGCCTATCTCAGCAATTAATGTTTTTAATATATTGGAATTATTCTATAAAAATGTTATTTTCACTTCTAGCTCCTTTAGTTTAGTTCACATAACACAAATACATTGCAAAAAATAACCATGAAAACTGAATCAGGAAGTAGGAATTAAAATTAGAGTTTGGAGATTGCGAAAGGAAGTCAAAATATTCCCAGATTTTAATTGAGCTAAGAAAATGTTTAGAGTTGGAGTTTTTGCAATTAGTCTGGATTTCAACACAATGCAGATGTTCAAAAGAGGAAACATACTTGTGCAGTTTAGAACATAAGGTACAAGGAGCACAGATCATAGGAATAAAGTGAAGTACTGTGGATGTTGGAAATTGGAATAAAAACAAAGTTCTGGAGAACTCTGGAGATTTGGCAGCATCTTTGGAGACAGAAACAGAGTTAAGTCTTAAGTTCAATAAAACTTTTCTTCAGAACATTCAAGGTTCCAAGAGTCATTTTGTATTGGAAATATGATGCTGCCAGACCTACTGGACTCCTCCAACACTACACTTATTTACAATCATAGGATTATTAATATAGTCTCATGATCTCAAAAACATTTATAATTCTTTACAACAATAATTTGCAAATTAAAACATATTTCATTGAAGATAAACATTCCATAGTGTTTCACAGCTTTTAAAACAAAAATCGATACCAAGCCATATGAAATATTGGATCTGGAAGATGGGCAAAGCGAGAAGTGTGTTAAACAGGGTCTTCAAAGAAACAGATGAACAGTATTAAGCTGGGAATTACAAAAGGTAGAATCCAGGACGGCTGAAGGACAGAAGATTTTGATGGATGCACAAGTAGTAAATTTGAAATAACACGAAGTTATTAGAGGGGTTGAAAGGCTGCACAGGTCATTTGGTTGAAACATACAAGATCCTGAGAATTTTGACAGGGTTGATGTGGACAGGGTGTTTCCTCTCGTGTAAGAATTGGAAACTAGGGGTCCTTGTTCAAAAATCAGGCCTTGACCATTTAAAAGAAAGTTGAGGTGACTTTTATTTTCTCTTTGGAATTCTCTTCCTTAAAAAGTAGTGGAAGTGGAATCCTTGAATATTTTTACGACAGAAGTGATAGAAACTTGCCAAGCAAAGAGTTGGTGGGGGGGAGGGGGGGGGGGAAAGAGAGACAGAGAGAAAGACAGTTTTATCAGGAGTGCGCAATAATGTGAGGTTATGAACAGATCAATTATGATCTTATTAAAGTTACAGATGCTGAATGGTTTATTCATATGTATAAATCCACAAAGGATTTAAATGCAAGTCTAGGAACTTTATATTGGAAATGTTGGGAACATCAAATTTTGGATGATCTACAGTTTATGGAGGATGGGAGGTCGGCCAGGAGAACTCTAATAGCCAAGACAGAAATTAACAAAAGAATGGATGCAGGTTCCAGCAGTACATGTGGCAAAATATGAGTGGATCTGGCAATAGTCCAGAATTTTGGTGACAGACAAAAAATGGGGCTCGAAGCTCTTCATGGGGTCATCTGGACTCAGACATAATGAGCAATCTAATTCAAACAATAAAGTGAATGATGGGGAAGACAACAGAATTAATAAAAAGACATTGAACTTATGATGGAGGCCAAAGAAAATGGATTTGGTTGACCTAAAGTTTAATTGGAAGTATTTACAGGCCACCAACAATGTGGGAAAACATGACAGCACAAAAGCAGTGGAGGGGGTCAAAAAAGGCAGTGAAGAGATGCAGTTGAGGATGATGTTGCCGAAGTGTAGCAAGGAGTTGAGGAAAAGATGCCATTGTTAGAAATGTTCAGGGCATAATTTGGTGGGGTAAAAAGCAAAACCAACTGATGACAATCACACAAAGCTGGACCAGAGGAGAGATATGAGAGAAAGCAGTTGCATTTGACTGTCAAAAGCTGTCAAGAATGTTGGAGATTTTATACCACAATTATAAAGCATTGTGATTGATTAGGCATCTCTCTTATGACTGAGCAGAAAATGTATTAGAAATGATTTAAATATTGAGTGACGGGTGTATTGAGAGAAGATTCAGGAAGCAACATGCTCAAGGACTCCAAGATTAATTCACAATAGACAGCAGTTTGCATTGGCATTTGAGGATAGGAGTTTTGAAGACAAAGTAAATAATACTTTGGAAGGAAAATGAACAGTACTTGAGGAGGAAGAATTACTTAGTGGTGGTCAGCATGGGATGTAAGGAAAGTGAAAGTGGTCAACGAGTTGATGGGAACAGGATGAGAGAAACCTGTGAATGCTATGAGATAAACTACAGAAAGTAGCTGTTGAGAGTCTAGGGGGAGGACAAGGAAAAGAAAAATAGCAACGGTGGTCTCAGTGATGCAGTTTATGAGCTCTTTGTATTTTTGGAGGGGAGTGTAGGTGAGCAGAGTTTTCAGGTTTAAGGTCTAGATTGATAGTGCAAAGAAGTTGAGCTTTATCTTTTGATTAAGCTGCAGTGGTAGGTGGTTTTGTCAGAGATCAGTGAGGCACAAAACTGTCTGTTATGATCCAACCGCGTCTAGCAATTAATGATTAACGTAGTGCAAAATTCGATGTGTTCGTACCTGTCCTTGACAAGGGCACAAAGCTGCGACAGCATACTAACAACAGGAATGGAACATAGTAGTTTTTTTATTGCGTACAAGGGCTTTATAGACAACAGCTGAGCAGATGAAAACCTGCGGAAGTATTCTGTTTTCCTTTATTCATTCATGGGACGAGGGTGGCGCTGGCTAGGCAGCATTTATTGCCCATCCCTAATTGTCCGGAGGGCAGTTAAGAGTCAACCACATTGCTGAGGGTCTGGAGTCACATGTTGGCCAGACCAGGTAAGGACAGTAGTTTCCTTCCCTAAAGGACATTAGTAAACCAGATAGGTTTTTCCCGACAATCGGCAATGGATTCACGGTCATCATTAGATTGTTAATTCCAGATATTCATTGACTTCAAATTCCACCATCTGCCATGGCAGGATTCGAACCCAGGTGCCCAGAACATTATCTGGGTCTCTAGATTAACAGTCCAGCGATAATACCACGAGGTCATCGCCTCCCCAAGTATTGTGGCATATTGAGTGCTGAAGACTATACAGTTGGCAGCCTAAATGTACAACTGTTCACAACTTGGAGAGTTGCCTGATTGTGGATACAGAGTGAGCAAGGTTACACGATAACAACAACTGCAAAGCACTGACAACCCAAGAAACCAAACTTCGAACGGAAACATCAGCTTGCTCCCTTCCCAAGTTTATTTTCTTGCATGTCAGTCTTAATGAGTATAAGATGAAAAGATTTTATCAATGTTTATGCTTTGTATTACCATGCAATTATACAGGTATGATAGCAAGTTCAATGAGGTGGCCATGTGTTTAATAGGATATTTTATAGAGTGAGATTAAGGAAGAACAGGAATTCATAGAAGTCAGTAAGGGCTTAGACGAGAGAGGCTAGGTGAGCAAAGTTGGAAATTGGAAAGAGAATAGGAACAAAGATTTTCTTTATAAAGGGACAGTTTTGAGTTCCTCAATGAAATTTCTTAAAGAATGTTATACATTGGGTTATCCAAGGAGAATTCAAGGATGGCACACTGGCACTATCGTTAGAACAGAGAGCAGAGCAACAGGCTGGTAAGGGGGTTAGGAGGGATAGCACTAGGAAGGAGGGATATAAAAATGTGGCACAATTGTGAAGAAGGTTACCTCAGTGTACAATGGGATCTTGACCAGATGGGCCAATGGACCCAGGAATGGGAGATGGAGTTTAATTTAGATAAACGTGAGGTGCTGCATTTTGGAAAAGCAAATCAGGGCACGACTTATTCACTTAATGCTAAGATCCCGGGGCGTGTTGCTGAAGAAAGAGACCTTGAGTGCAGGCTCATTGTTCCTTGAAAGTGGATTTGCAGGTTGATAGGATAGTGAAGACGACGTTTGGTATGTTAGCCTTCACTGGTCAGTACATTGAGCATAGGAATTGACAGGCCATGGTATGGTTGTGCAGGACATTGGTTAGGCCACTTTTGGAATACTGCATGCAATTACGGTCTCCCTGCTATACGAAGGATGTTGTGAAATTTGACAGGGCTCAGAAAAGATTTACAAGCATGTTGCCAGGGTTGGAGGGTATGAGCTATGGGGAAAAGCTGAATAGGCTGGGGCTATTTTCCCTGCAGCGGAGGTCGCGTGGCGACCTTAAAGACATTTATAAAATCATGAGAGGCATGGATAGGGTAAACAGACAACGTCTTATCGCCAGTGTGGGGATGTCCAAAACTCGAGGTCATAGGTTTAAGGTGAGACGGGAAGTTTTAAAAAAGGAAAACCTTTTCACGGAGGCTGGTGCGGGTATGGAAATGAGCTGCCAGAGGAAGTGGTGGAGGTTTTCATAAAAGTTCATGAGGAGCAAATATCACTACTAGCAAGCAAGCCAGTAAGAAAGAATACAAAGAATGTAATTGGCAGAAGAACGAGAAGATTGTGAGGTGAGTATTTTTAAATGTAGGAGTTATGTCAATCTGGAACATATTATTTCAAGAGTATGGCTTCAGCAGTTTCAAAAAGTAACTTCTAAATTGGGAACTGGATTCTTATTTGGAAAGTAAACAATTGAAAGGCAACCAGCAGGGTTCTAATTGGATAGACAGCAAGCTAATATTTTGAGTCTAGATGACTCTTCAGAGCAAAATTACTACAGATGCTGGAATCTGTACTGAAAACAAAAAATGCTGGAAATCACAGTGGGTCAGGCATTTTCCACGGGGAGACAGTAAGCTAATGT